CGGTGCAAAAAAAAAAAAAAAAAACTCAGGCTTTTTTTTCCCTCTCCCGAGTTTGGGTCGAATTCCTAAGGAACTTAAGTTAATCGGGATTTCTTCCGGTTTTGTCCAAGCTGCTTTCTTTGGGCTCAGAGTTTGGCCGGTTGAAGACGTGCTTTGAGGCTAGCCTCGTGTTGTCGGTTCCTAGCGGGGCTTGACAGATACGGAGATCGGGGCAGCGCTGAGGAGCGAGTGTGCCTTCGGATAATAAACCCTGGACCCTAAACCTGGTGGCATGAAATGCCTATGTTTGTTTTCTTTACAAATCAGTGCCGTTTCTTTTTTAAGACTTTGCCTGGACCTTGAGTTTCCCTCTAATACAAAAATCAAAAGAATCATTGTCTCTCTGCTTGAAGAACAGAGCATTTAATAGATTTCCCTGGAGACCTTTTTCCTTCCCCCCTGTGTTTATGATGACACTCACAACATCTGGAGAATTCTAGTTTAATGTCACTCAGCTGTGCTGAGAACTTTTTACTTGTTAAGGCATACCAACCGTGCTAAAATAGCCAGGAGGTCTTTTAAGGAATGGAGTAAAATGACATTGAAGAGACAACTCTTGGAGGTGGTATAACGGCTGCATTTTAACACTGTCGCTTGGGGAAATAGACTGGTCGTACTAAAAGTGTAATAGCCAGTTGTGGAATAATTAAGGCTTTAAATTAGTAGCTTTAGAACCTTAGGAAAAAAATGTCTGCATGTGGTTGTGGTTTCATGGAAACTTTTTGTTAATGTGCCAGTATTCAGGAGTGTTGGGGTGAAAAATATGTATCCATTGTGTCAAACTGCATCTCATGAAAGGGAAGTTGAAATGTAGGTTGAGCCCTTTGCAGCTTGGATAGTGGTTGCTCTAGGGTCCTGACAGGATTGGAGAGTAGTTCCTGAAGATTTTCCTCCTGCCTTATGAAAGGCATAAGAAACTGGATTAAAGGTTTCCAAAATTAAGATGCTTTCATTAAAGAATTTGGAACACGAGGTTCCTTTCAGAAACTCAATGTATGCTCACACTTAGGTTGCGCCCAAAGGGCTTGTTGGAGTTCCTTTTGAGAGATCTCTTTGAAGACTGGTGTTGTTGAAATGCAGGGGTTCTTTTCCAGACCAGGGAACCTAGCAAGTGCTACTTGCAGATGGACTACCATATGTTTTATGTCTGGGTCCATATCGTTTGCCTCAGTGCCCCATATGGCTCTATAGTTCACTCAATTCAGCTTCATATCTCATTTCCTTTATTATAAACGGGTGACTGTGCTGCAGATTCACAGCCCTGACATGAAGGAAGCTGTGTTGCTTGGTGAGTCTTCTATGTCCAATTCATTAAAACATGAAAGATTCAGACCAGGAATCCTTTGGCCCTTATAGTAAGTGGCATGAAAATACACATCATGTCAATTGTGGATGATCTGACCCCCAAAATAGAAATTTTTTCTATGTGAGTGCATCTTTTGAATTCTGCCCTTTGGAAATGGCATTTGTTAGTTCTCATGTGTGTTTTATTTTGTCTTATTTTAAGACCTTTGCAGTTCCTGAGTGGATATCAAATATGGGAGTTTCTTGCTTACTCATACACTTCATGGCCTCCTTGGCCACATCCTGGAGTGTGTTTCTCTTCAGCATTGTCTTGGCATTTTGACAGGAGGCTTACTTTACCGCTTCTAACAGGCAAAGTGTGCATTGTCATTATAAATTCATGAAGCCTGGATATTTCTGGGTGTATGCTGCAAATTAGTCATTATACAGGAGCCTGCAATGGAGCTGAAAGTGCTAACCTCAAAGCATTTTCTCTTCGGTTAGGCCCCCTTTCCACCCCCCATCATATCTACAGCCAAGGGTTGTTAGAGCCCTTCTCTAAAGCCAAAGAGTTGCTTTGTATGGCACTTCTCAGGGCAGTCAGAACCTACTTACCATAAAGAAGGGAGCCCTCAAGAGTGGGGGGCTGGGGGATGAAAGAGCCCATTGGGAAGAAGTGCTGTATCTACACACACACACACACACACACACACACACACACACACAAACACTTGCATTCTGCATCTCCACGCTTTTCTTACTTTTGATATTTTATGACTATTTGAAATAATTATAAGTAACTGTATGCGCAGATAGATTTTATAGACCATAAAAAAGAACAAATAGGTCCCACAAGTTTAGCGGAAAGTTCTAGTGCTGTTGTTATTTGTAGTCCAAGAGCTCTTTATTAGTGAGTGATCTTGGCCTTGCTTTTACTTCTTGCTTTCTGCTTGCTGTGTATCTGATTTTAAAAGAATAGTAGTGTAATTGTCACCCCACTATTTGTTTGCTTGTTTTCAGCTATCAGTGAGTGACCTTAACACTATAGTCAGTTGTGTACAATCCCCCCAGAACAAGGCAAAGCCTTGAGTAAGTCTTTCCCTTGATAAATGGCTTGAAGGATTCTGGGAGAGTGAATTTGTTGTGTTGTTTTGTTTTGTCTTGTTGTTCAGCAAATGTAGTTGAAAGTAAATAAATCTGTTTGGAAAAAGGGGATCCTGTAAATTGAATTTCCCTGGTCAGTGTTGCACTGAACAAACTTTAAAGATGATTTCTTTGATTTTTTTTTTTCTAAGTGGTCTGGTGGTTGCTATAAGTTCAATAGCTCCAAAATAGTAAAATTTTAATCTCCTTTATTCTGTTAAAAGTGAAAATGAAGGCCCAGCCGACTCTTCTCCTTCTCCAGGACTTTGAAATTTCGAAATGATTATAGATTGCTATCTCCCACGCTTCTTTCCGACTGCAGCCAAAAAGTTTACCATTTCATTAAAGATTTAAAATACTCATTCTAAATACCTTTTAAATCAATATAGGGATTACTTCATGATGTCTTTTATCAGATGATGTTTTAAGTGTCAATATCCTGAAGTTTACTGTATCCACAAATTGAAATAATTACATATTTAAAAATAACCCACTGATTTTAATTAGGGATGGTGGCATACACCTGTACTCCAACATTCTGGAAGCTGTTGCAGAAGGATTAGAAATTCAAGGTCAGCCTGGGCTACAATTCAATGAACCTGCCTTGTCTTGGGGGGGGGGTGCAGGCAGGGAGTAGGGGCTGGAGAGATGGCTCATCAGTTAAGAGCACTGGTTGCTCTTCCAGAGGATCCAATCCAGTTTGATTCCCAGCAGCCATGATGGCTCAGTCATCTGTAACTCTAGTTCCAGGAGATCCAGCACCATCATGTGACCTCTGAGGGCCCCAGGTGTACCTGTGCACAGACATGCATGCAAGCAAAACACTCATACACATAATAGATATACACACACACACACCATAAGCATTGAATGATCCAGGGATGTGGATTTCTTTCCGCCCCTAGATTACAAAATGTGAGATATTTTATGCCTGGAAAAGACCACAAAATTGTTGTAACAACTTCCTTATTTTTTTTTAAGATTTTATTTATTATGTATACAAAATATCTGCCCACCAGAAGAGGGCACCAGATCTCATAACGGATGGTTGTGAGCCACCATGTGGTTGCTGGGAATTGGACTCAGGACCTCTGGAAGAGCAGCCAGTGCTCTTAACCTCTCAGCCATCTCTCCAGCCCACAACTTCCTTATTTTTCAGAAGAGGAAGCTGCTAAAATGGAGAGAATCAGTAAGATTTCTTCCATGGGTTACACACCTATAAGGAATTTCAGGTAACAAATACGTGCCATGGCTCATTTTATACAACTTGAGATACATGAGCAGTGCTTCTTCCAGTAAACCTGACCTCACTCTTTGAAACAATATAAAATCAATTGGTGCACATGGCTGACCTTGTCTTTGTTTTTTTGTTTGTTTTGTCCTTTTCTCTTGTGCTTTGAGAAGTTTCATGAATGTATGAGAGACAAATGACAAAGATAATTTGGAACTTTCTTTAATTCAAGACATTCATCCTCGGGTTTTCATTTTACCTTTTTCTTCAAACTGTTAGTTAACTAGTTGTTAATGAAGAGGGAAAGTGAAGTGTTCACACACACACTAGGAATTCTTGGCTTTACAGTTCTCTGATTCATGTTTTGAAATAAAATTTTGATGTTGCATACTTTCTTAGGTTTGTGTGTGTGCGCGCGCATGCGCGCGCGCGATCTGTGTGTCAGACATGTTAAAAGAAGTAAAATTGGATCTTGGTCAAGTGAATCACTTTTTTTAGGAGAGTACCTGTGTTTTATAGACGCTAGGGCTTTGTGACTGTGGATATAGTTTGTTAGTAATATACCTCAGAGGAAAGATAGAATAGCTTACTACTTGGATTTTCATGCCGGTGGTTTTCATACCCTGTAGCCATACAAAAATCAGGTAAAGATACTTTAAGCATACTATAATTTAGAATTTTAGCTCTTCTTTGGGTGTGTAAGCTTTAATCATAGCTATGTGCATAGTACATCTCTGCCCAGTGCTTTCCAAAGCAAATTACTCATACAGCTTTAAAAATCAAAACAGTCCATGTCTTTGGCTTTGCTTTAGAGCAGAGTAGTCTTTGTCAAAATCTGTAAATAGCAAACAAGAAACAGTATTTCATTTGCAGTTTTAACCTGGAGACATTTCCTAGACTAGACTCACATTCAGTCACCAAAGCTTCAAAGTTTCAGGTAACTGTATCCAGTTTTTCTCCCAGTGGCTTAATTTGAGAGATGTGATAACTCAGTACAACCTCAAATAGGAGTGTGAGATACAATAGACAGTTACCAGGGAAGACTAGCATCTTCTCACAATGCCCAGAAGTGATGAAGCATTTACATGCTTGGCCCTGTCTTTCTCCTAGGTGACTGCCAACAGCCAGCTCAATGCCGAATCCAGAAATGTACCACAGATTTCGTGTCCCTCACTTCACATCTGAACTCTGCCACTGATGGCTTTGACTCTGACTTTTGCAAGGCACTCCGAGCCTATGCCGGCTGCACCCAGCGAACTTCAAAAGCCTGCCGTGGCAACCTGGTGTACCATTCTGCCGTGTTAGGTATCAGTGACCTCATGAGCCAGAGGAACTGCTCCAAGGATGGACCCACATCCTCTACCAACCCAGAAGTGACCCATGACCCTTGTAACTACCACAGCCACGGAGGAGTCAGAGAACACAGGGGAGGGGACCAGAGCCCTCCCAATTACCTTTTCTGCGGCTTGTTTGGAGACCCTCACCTTAGAACTTTCAAGGATCACTTCCAGACGTGCAAAGTGGAAGGGGCCTGGCCTCTGATAGACAATAATTATCTTTCGGTTCAAGTGACGAATGTGCCTGTGGTCCCTGGATCCAGTGCCACTGCTACTAACAAGGCAAGTATACCTTTTTGTCCCTCTTTCTACTCAAGACTTTCAGATGCTTGGTCCTTTAGACAGTTTCTGGAGTGTGTTATAAAGGGCCTCCTTTAGAGGGGCCATTTGTATATCTTCTTGGAAAGTTATTAACAGGGTTGGTAAACGTTTGAGATTGTTTAATAAAGGAGTTTTTGGTTGTTTTTTTTTTTGTTTGTTTTTCTGGCATGCAAAATGTGGGTCTAAAGTTGAATAGGCAATGATATGAAGAATAAAATGTCAACAGTGAAATCAGGTTTTCCAGGGAGAAAAGGCAGCCTGTTTAATGAGAGAAGCGTGTGCCTTCTCTAGTTCGTGCTGTCTTGTGTGGCTCTTCTTGAGGAAATCCACGGTCAGATTTATCAAATGCGTAAAGGGGGTGTTCTGAATAAAGAAAGCTGTGAAGCCTGGGGCAGTGGCCCATCAGGAAACATACTTTAGTGGAGGTTTAGAAACTATAGTAAATGTAATGGCTGTAAGCCAGGCTTCCCAGCAGCAAACCCACAATGGTGCTTTAGTTAGCAACCTTTGGTAACCAAGGAAGTTAAAGATTGGCTATTGCAGAACAGTGCTGTATAACCTCCGTGTAATCTCACACCTGCATGTTAACAGTTTAAGCCAGAAGCTAAGAGGAAAGTTGGCAAAAATTAAGTTACTCTTACCCTGGTCCAGTGTCTGAACTCCTATGTTTGTTTATTTCGAAGAAACTGATCATATATAGAGACCTTGACGCCAGCTGCAAGGCACTGGTGTCTTAGTACAAGGTAGGAGAGTGTCCAGTGAGTTTCCATTTACCAGTCAATGAGTGCCAGAGTTTCTCCTAGTGTCCCAACTAAACCACCCCCTTTCCTGTCTTCCCCAGCCACAAACCCCACAGATAGACTGTCTCATCTTGCTTTAATTTCCTGTATTTATTAATCTGTTCCTTAGTTGTCACAGACTAAATATAATTGACAAGGATCAAGTTTTTGAAATCTTGTGACTGTTTATTTGATTCCCTCCCTTGCCTCCAAATGTGGGGCATATTTTTAAGAGAGTTTAAATTATTTGACTTGGCATTTTGTGAAGGGAACTTTACAACACCTCAGGAGATATCTGGAGACACCCAGGAGTGTCACAAATCTAAAAATAGAAGTCATTGCTCTTGAACAAAGAAGACTGTTACACTGAAGCAGACATTTTGAGGGGATCTCCGAAATGTTTATACTTCCACCCAGTAAAACTTCACTCAGGCGCACCTTTTGCCTTGGCAAACTCTACATCTTGAAATACACTTTTCTTTCTCTGGCTATTATATGTTTATAAATACCTTTTCTTATGTGGATCTCAGGATGTGTATTTGGTAAAAGTTAGGTTATAAAGATACATATTATGGGACTAGTAGGATGGCTCAGCAGTTAAGAGCACCTACTGCTCTAGTAGAGGATCTGGGTTTGGTTCCCAGCACCAAATTGGCAGCTCACAACCACACACACACACACACACACACACACACACACACACGAGTTTTATATATACAATATATTACATATATTATGTATATTAAGATAAATGATTATGAAGTTGTAAGGTAGACCATTGCCAAAAATTCAGGATTACAACAGTCATCAGACACCTCAAACGTTGGGAATGGTTACCAGATAACTGAAGGTTCCATGGAAATTTGATGAGGCTTTACTTTGGGAATGGGAAAGTTACCCATTGTTCAGATAGTTGAGGATTTGGAAGATTCTTGGTCAAATTAAAGTATTAATAGCATAGATAGATAGATAGATAGTGTATGTAATTATATATATGGAACAACTTACAGTTCACTTAAGATTAGAAAATTAAAAAAAAAAAAAACCCACAGGTCTGTTTTCTCCATCTGGCATGAGCCAAAAGTTTTGTTCTTTCAAATGGAGAAAGTAGTGGTTCTCTGACAGGAATTCAAGAGGACCGCAGGAGTTTGTGGTTGCTCAGTTGCACATTAGTCTTTTGCTTCATCTGGTGGCCATGCCACTCAGCAAGTTACTCTAGGGTCCTGCATCTACAGTAGTTACTGTGCTCCTGTATTTTTTTGTTTGTATTCTCCCGGGTGCCTGGGACTCTGAAAAGCTGTTTTTGATGCCCTATCTTGAGACCTATAAGACATGTGTTGCTGAAATCGGCAAAGGCCTAACATTGTTACACCATCTTACCTTTAAGGACTTGAAGCATTAAAGAAAAGGTGCTAATAAACATAAAAACCTTTAATCCCAACACTCAGCAGTCGAGGCAGGTTGATCTCTGTGAGTTCGAGGACAGTTAGGGCTTTTACACAGAGTAACCCTGTCTTGAAAAACCAGAAATAAAAACAGTGAGGCATACTGTCCTTACAAAATTCATTCTAAGTAAAATCTGAATCTTTTCTAATTCTGTTTTATGATTTTTTTATTTTGTTGTTGTTTTTTTTTTTTGGAAAGATTTTCTTGATGTGAATCTCACCCCATGTTAATCAGCTATCTCACCTTTATCTCTGGGACAAATACCTGAGGAGAAAAGGTTGAAAGGAGGAAAAGTTTATTTGGGTTTCAGTCCTAGCTTGACAGGATTCATTGCTTTGAGCCTCAGGCAAGACAGGATCCCAGGATGGTGGGAGCATATGAAAGAGGGTACTTAACCTCAGGTTGGCCAGAAAAGGCAAAGAAAAGGAAATGCAGGAAGGGAAACTAGAGACAAGGTGTAACTTTCTGGGGAGGTGACCTGCTCCCTCCAGTTAAGTTGCACCTGCTTTACACTCCTCCCAAATGCTATCCTGTTATGAATCCATCAAGTCTTTTTTTTTTGGGGGGGGGGTGCGCTTCATTTTCTTACCAAGAATTTCTGGATATACCTAAACCTGTGTTGAGTAACTCAGCACCATACTTTGATGATATTGAACCTTGCTTGGTTGGTCAGGCATTTCAAAAGACCTGTGTGTGCTGTGCCACTGCACATAAACACTAACTGATATGCAAGGCCAGCTGTGATACAGAAACTCCCATGCGTTTCACGGCCTTCACTTCTGAAGAGAAATGCTAGATTCTTGAGTATTTTACTCAGTGTGGTCACTAAGACAACTGGGTTCTGGGAGCCTGGCTTCCTGAGCCAGCCTCCTGCAAGCTTAACTTATTGAGATCTCCCTTCCAAAAATAGTCCCCACCTGTCACCAAAGGATACCTAAACAGAATAAAATAGGATGAAGTCCCTGTACTCAAGGGGCATTTATTAACTAAACTTTTTTTTCCACATATGAACAGTGAGTAAGGACAAATAGACCTGGTAGTGTGATTTATCTCCTTATCCAGTGTTCGATCCACACACTGGTCCTTCCCTCCACATGGGAAAGGACTGGCTTTCCCACATGGTCACTGTGTGCACAAGTATGCCTTCTTGGGGCCCTCCACCTGCCTTTCTCTTCCTCTCTGGAAGAAAGAAACTGTACTAGTAGGCCAGCTTGCTGGGTAGATGTGTTTACTGAAGGGGAGAAGCCAGGGCAAGTTTTTCATCTCTCCACCCTGGGGCTGCAAGAGTTTCTGGCACACCTACACACTTCACCTCATCTCAGATACAATCTTCCCCACCTTTGGCTGTGAGAGGCAGATGCAGGCATGCAGACACAGAGAAAGTGAAATGCTGCAGGGACAGCATTAGAAGTGGCAGTGTTAGGGGGGAAACACAGAGGAAAGGCATGGTGGCAGTGGCCATCCTGTACTGCAAAGGAGCCAGGTTACCTGTCTGTGAGGATAGCTGGCTTAGTGCCTTTAGGTCCACATTTCCTTTGTCACTTTCAGACTCAACTCGTTCATTTTATGGGCTGTGTTTGTTTTTAAATAATGGACCTGAGAGGATATTTAAATGCATGATCACAAAAGGTAGATAAAGCGTAAATTTCTTGTTCCTCTGATATGTTCCCAGTAGCAGGTATTAAAGTTTCTGAGACGGTAGGATAGATTAGATTCATGGTAGAGGGCTTGCCAAACGTGGGTAAAGTAACTCTTGAGTAACCTCCACAGACCTACAAAACAATGAAAATGAAAGCAAGCAGTTTTTAAATCTTCGATCTCCAGCTAGCTGGTAGAGCACCAGAAGCCAGGCCTTACCACCTGTGGGTGAGTTCCTGGAACTCATGTGGTAGGAGAGAATTGACTCCACAAACTGTGCTCTGACCCCCACAGAGCTCTCACACATACAAACACACAATACACAGATAAAATGTAATCTAAAAAAAAAAAAATTAAAAACCAGTCTCAAGTACGTTCTTAATAACTTTTCAAAATACTTTCAGCTTAAAAACTTGCATGTTACCTACCTAACAATGGCTGTGTTTTTAATCATTCTTTACAAGTATTCTTTTGCTCTATGTTCCCTTAAATTTTTACGGAAAAAAAAATCATATTTTTTTCTCACTACTTTGGCTTTCCCATACAATACTTGAGTCTCATGAAAACAAAACAGAAGTAGGGAAAATTGGGAAACCTACATCCCTGTCTCTCCTTGAGTGAGAAAAAGGATTTGCTGTAAAGCAACTTGCCTGAACCAGATGTCTTGTATGGCCTGGTGAGAGTGGCCACCAGCTCCTATTACCCTAAGGGCAGCACCTACAAGTGTAACAGGATACCCAGCCCATCGGGGTTGTTTGTGTATATCATTTTATATTCCATAGTATCACTACATTTCAAATTCAGTAACTGCTTTCTTGGAGTTTCTGAGAGGTTCCACCAGATCTGGAGACAGATTGGTTTTCTCTCTTTTTGGTTAATGTCTTCATTGAGCTGTGCATTCTGATAAAGTCTGCCAGTCCTTCCTGGTGAACACTAAAGCATGTTGTGGTCCCTTTTTTTTGATAGACCTTAGACACTTGCACAGCAGCCATGAACATGTAAGTCATTGTGGGTCATTATCTGTTGCTTACAGAGTTGGAGCTAGACATGTCTGCCTTGCAGAGACTTTCAGTTGTTATTTTAAGTGCATCTCTGGAT